GTGTTTTTAGGGTTAATGTATATTATAAAAATCTAAGCTATGTAACACTACCACACAAACACCACCACTTTGTCTCATATATTTGTCTCTTTTCATAGGCAGGAAGAGATGCAGGTAAACTCTTGCAGCCCAACCCTCACAATAATGACATGGCTGACCAGTTCAAGCCAGTTGTTCCTTGGCCCCACGTCGAAGGAGTTGAGGTTGATCTGGAGTCTATCCGCCAGAAAAATGGTGACAAGCCAAACCCTGCATTCAAAGCCCAGAACCAGCAGAATGTCATCCAGAAGCAATACATCACCTTTAAGCCTCACACCAATGTGTTTAATGAACCTGTGTTGAAGAAAGGAATTCTGGGCAACTTTGAGTCTAAAGAACCTGAGCCTCAGGGGGTCCAGGGCGGACCGGGAGAGGGCAGCAAACAGTTCGTACTGGGACCGGAGTACAAAGATTCTGTTCAGGCCAGCATCAAGGAATTCGGCTTTAATATGGTAGCCAGCGACATGATCTCTCTGGATCGAACCATCGGCGACTTACGGCATGAAGAGTGAGTATGAGCCATTCTGATTTGCGAATGTATTTGGGTGTGTGTAAGGAGGAGAATGTGGGTGTGGTGGTAAATTAGGGTTTTTGGACATTTTTCGCATTGTTTTTAAAGGCTTTTTGCCTCGTGAGAAATTAAACGAATGATCCTCTCTTGTTTTAGCATGTGTTTGACTTCAGTTTCTACTTAAAAAAAACTATTTACTTGTTTTTTAAGATGCTCAGGCTACACACACTATAGACAGTCCGGTTTGACATGTTGGTTTTTCAAGTTATTTTTGTGATCACACCCAGAAAGATGAAAATGATAAGGACACACCTTTTCAAACAAGCTATTTCAATGGCATAGTAGATGACGTATCGCCTCCTTTTTTAGCCACGTCATTTCTCCTTTTTTCAGTTCACACTTACAAACAATACCTATTCATTTTGCTCATGGTACCATCATAATATCATGATTTTTGTGATGTAACACCATGGGACATGGAAGTACCTTGGCGAATATCAAAGTACCTTCTGATAGAAAAAGTGTACTGTGCTGCAGTACATTAAGGGATGTATCTTATACCCTTTACACTCAGAGGACAGTTAGTACTGAAAAGATATTGTGCTGTACTCTATTACTAATGTTCGAGACGTTAAATAGGATCGGCATTATGCCCACAATTCAGCCACTGAAATGTTGTTTGGCCACGTCACAGCTGAATGATAAGCTACAGTCTCTCTCTTTAACTCCCCTCAAGCTGGAAAGCTGGATTATCTGCCTGAGACTGCTTTATGAATTCATACAGCTTCAGAAGTGACCTGAAGCTTTAACAACAGATCTAGCTTCATGTTTGGCCCCTGTAGGGCATCCAGTTTAGACACAGACTTGTTGCTTAATAGGATTTCATTTCCGGCATAATTATAAAATGTTCGCACTTCACACTTGTTATACATTGAGTTGATAGTAAAAACAACATGCAGCATTTTTACCATCAGCAGTTTAATCATTACTGCAGTTTTATGGTGCTGTAGTCAGTGCTGTTCCTTTTGCAGAGAGTCTGAAAGGTGGGGATAGTTCACCTGAAAAAGAAACTGTCATAATTTACTCATGTCATTCTAAAACTGTATGATTTACGTTCTTCTGTGGAATTTAAGATTTTTTTGAGAAATGTGTTTGATTGTACAGTGGAAGTCAATGATAAACCAAAACTGTTATGTTACCAGCATTCTTCAAAATATCTTCTTTTATGTTACACAACCATGCAGGTTTGGAATGACATGAGGCTGTGTAAATGATGACATGATATTCTTTTTGGGGTGAACTATACCTTTCATGAAAATTGTATTGAACTTGACCAGCATACTTTCTTAAATTAATATAAATCTTGAAAATGCTTTTATCAACATACATACATACATACGTACATACTAATTCAAGGTATGCACTTTATCAGTATGTCTCTTCCCTGGGAATTGAACTAATGACTGTGGAGTTGCTAGTACCATGTTGTGCCCTTTGAGCTATATAATCCTAAATATAACTCAATTCATTCACAATTCATGTGTTGTAATGTCACTGCTACATGTTTTGACGCATACTCGCTAGAACTCAATTCCTACTGGGGAAATCAAACCCTTTTCTAGTAGAGAAGTTTGGATAGTGTCTGGATCCAAGTCAGGGCTGAAACAATGAACCCTGCTGTTCTTTGGTACAGGCAGGGTGTAAAGGTGTTTTAACAGCTTATGAACTTGCAGTATTTGCACTAAATGTTACTGGGAACTGAACATCCTGCACTGATCTTTATTGGCATTGTCATCATTGGCTGGTAAATGGCCCATTCAAACTGATCAGGTGTGTGACCTTTTAGAGCGCAACAGAGTTCTTTGGTTTGATTTACCTTTCTCAGACTTAATTATGATGATTTAGGCCATAACATGATTACGTTAGTGCATTTGTATTGGTTGGATTTCCTTATGAGATACCGATTTGTTGGTGAGTGTACACAGTGATACCAACTTTTGTCTGAAGATGTCAGTGTTTTGTCTAAAGTGAGGTTTTGCTTCAGTTTACAATTTACTCTTGCCTTCCTCATAAGACAAACACGCTGAAGCATGTTAACAGTGAATCATTTTGTCGTTTTAAATCTGATATCTTTGTTTGCTGGCACATCCGGGTTTTTTAGAGGCAGTTACTTTGGCCCTTGTGAAAATGTCATCGCTCATTGCGACATGAAAGGAAAAATATTCATCCATATATATTTCATGCATTTAGAGCCCTCAAAATAATCAATCTCATATATAACATATTCTAGCCTATTAAAAAAATGTCAGAATACACTGCTACCTTTGAATGGACGTCAATTTGAGATTTGCTTTTTGATTTGAGGAAAATAAGGTCAGTGGTTAACATTACTTAAGAGATCCTAACTCTAACCTTTGTTTTGAATTTCAAAGCCAGCTTGCAAAATGAAGACTGAAACCACCTCAAGGATGTGGGTGATTCTGACAACATTTGTAGTTCTGCTTATTGTAACTTCTTAGCAACTTAAGTTATTAAAATTCACATTTGAAGTATGTGAGATTTATATTCTAGAACAAAACATGAAAGTCTCTTCAAGTAATTTCTTCAAGACCATATTTTACACACAAATCAAAAACTGGTATTCAAATAACCCAATAGAAATTCTCTAGTGAACACAAGATGAATTAGCCCTCTGAGTTGGCCTACAAATTGACGTCACAACCGAACATTCTGTGCTAAATTTAGCTAAAACATGTAAGTAAATAGCATCCGTCGCTGTAGTTTCAAAGAACAGTTAGCATTAGCACTAAGATGGTGACAGCTTGTTTGAGTAGTGCAGCACACCCCGATCTCCAGTGAGACTGAACGTCATGGGCGTGAGTTGCTCTTCCAGTTGAGTGGCTTTACTGTGCCATGTAAGACAAGTTAGGCCTTATGACTTGTGTTACATGGGACTTAACTCTGATGCTAAAAGAGGCTAAACTGCCATAAGAAAAAAGTGTTGCTCTGCCAGTATGTTGCAGACAGGAATCATTATTTTTTAATGGGTTTTTGGAGGGAAATGTTGTGTTTGTTACAACATATAGGTTAATGAGATTAATCTAGCCCGTATCACATGCATAGACTTGACTTAGGCAGGTCTATGTCCTATTTACTTTAGGCATCAAGAGTTTCCTCATGCATACATTTTCTCTTTTCTAAGCTGCTTAAGCTTTTACTTTAAAACTGATGTTTGCACCATATAAGAATTTGTACATAAACTAAACCCTAGTGCAAATAACTCACCAGGAGCCTACAAACAAAGCCAAAATTGTTTTCATTATAATGCTTTTTTTTGTCCTTATTCTTCAATATCATAGTTCAAGTAGGCCTATCATTGTATCATTTTTTCCAACTACCTCTATATTTCTACTATAAGAACCTAAAAATTTTTATTTCATTTTTTTTTTTTTTTTGAAATAAGATTTGAGTTTGTGCTATTCATTCTGGCCCTACACACAACTGTCACTTATCTACTGAAAGTGAATGAAACTGGATGAAGAAACTTTTAACTTCGAGCTTCAGTAGAGAATGAGGAAGTGTGTTTGGGCATTGCTCTCCCCTTATTCAGAGGAAACAGTTGCTGTTTCCTGTCTCACAAATTGCTTCCACAGGATGGAGGTGGATGCAAGTGTGTAAGAATCTACCACTAATGCATATACAGTCAGTGTGTGCAAGTGCACAAAATGAAATCAACTCCACAACAACATTCGCTTCCAAAATAGTGTGCTTTATAACTATGTGTATTTTTCTGTAGGTGTAAATACTGGCACTATGATGAAAACCTCCTCACCTCCAGCGTGGTCATTGTCTTCCATAATGAGGGCTGGTCCACACTGATGAGGACAGTGCACAGTGTCATCAAAAGAACCCCAAGGAAATACCTGGCTGAGATCGTCATGATTGATGACTTCAGTAACAAAGGTAGTGTGAACATTGTTTTAATTTCTTCATTAAATACTCTACATAGCACATTTGTGTACTTTGTGCTTTGCATATTTTTCTATAAGAACCTAAAAATTTTTATTTCATTTTTTTTTTTTTTTTTGAAATAAGATTTGAGTTTGTGCTATTCATTCTGGCCCTACACACAACTGTCACTTATCTACTGAAAGTGAATGAAACTGGATGAAGAAACTTTTAACTTCGAGCTTCAGTAGAGAATGAGGAAGTGTGTTTGGGCATTGCTCTCCCCTTATTCAGAGGAAACAGTTGCTGTTTCCTGTCTCACAAATTGCTTCCACAGGATGGAGGTGGATGCAAGTGTGTAAGAATCTACCACTAATGCATATACAGTCAGTGTGTGCAAGTGCACAAAATGAAATCAACTCCACAACAACATTCGCTTCCAAAATAGTGTGCTTTATAACTATGTGTATTTTTCTGTAGGTGTAAATACTGGCACTATGATGAAAACCTCCTCACCTCCAGCGTGGTCATTGTCTTCCATAATGAGGGCTGGTCCACACTGATGAGGACAGTGCACAGTGTCATCAAAAGAACCCCAAGGAAATACCTGGCTGAGATCGTCATGATTGATGACTTCAGTAACAAAGGTAGTGTGAACATTGTTTTAATTTCTTCATTAAATACTCTACATAGCACATTTGTGTACTTTGTGCTTTGCATATTTTTTTTAAAGTTCAGCACAGGTACTGGCATTATTTTGTGCAAAAAAAAATACCAAAGTCATATTTACAATGCAAACATGGAAAAGAAAGGTGCATTGATGCCAGTGTCTCGGGGAGTAGCTAACTATATTACAACTTAACATTCTTCAGTAATGTGAGAGTAACTCAGCTGCTTTCAAATCAGTATAGATATTTCAATAACTGGAAGTAGTGTTGCTGTTTTTTAAGTACCTTGTACATTTTATTGTGTTGCAACAGACGAGTAAAAACCATTGGGAAGTCTGAATCAATGTAAATTGGTTGTCTTGTCCATTTGGTAATTTCAAAGAAATGATTTAAAACAGTTTCCCAATTCATTTAAGTGAAGTGTTCATAACTGTTTTCTTCTTAGTTATACACATTACGTTAGAGAGTTTTCTAATTTTATTGTATTTAGTGTGAATTAATCTGTAAAGTACGAAGTAAATTAAATAATCGGATGCCCATTTCTGATGCTGATTCACATTGAATTAAAGTTGTGAAGAAATATAAGTAGAGATGTACATCCGAGTGAAACGGATTATTGAAAAAATGTAGGGCAGGAACTTGTTGATTAGATGGAGGCAAATCTACAGGTGCATCTCAATAAATTAGAATGTCGTGGAAAAGTCAGGCATACGTCACCATAGAGAAGTCTTGTTTCACTGGAAGATTCAATTTTGACATTTTTATTTAGAATTATAGGGTTAAAAAAATGTAAGGAAACTTATGCACAGATGAATTCTTCACAATAAAATCAAAAACATTCATAATTTTAATGTTGAGAAACTTTAGTACTTCAAAATAACAGGAAAAGCTTAATGTCTGTCCCTATTTGAGATCATTCTCCAAAATATGAATACAGCATTTTTATTTGATGGTCCTCAGTTCTCTAAATACTGATTTACATGTTCTGGCTGTTTTGGATTGTCACTGTCTTTCAGCAGTTACTGGTTTTTCAGGTTTAAGAAAGTGAAGCATGGTTTTAGTTTTGATACCCCTTCTCTAGAGAGTCTATTCTGCACTCCTAAGTGAAAGAGATATATCGTTGCCACAACCTGTAGGCGGTCTGCCTGAAGACTAATGCTGAGCGCTTGTTCATTAATATGGGGCAAGCAGACTGTTACTGAATGGAGATCATTACTCTTTAAGAGATCGCTCACAGGGGAACTATGAATGAATGCAGTGCTGCGACTTGGCCGATAAGAATCAATAAAGGGCGTATAGGCTCCAAATGTTTCATGCATTTAGTAATAAAGGTCAGTAAAACTTTGTTCAGGCAGCACACAGTTTCGATTTGTTTTTCAAATGCAATCTTTAGGGCTGACTGTCTGCACTTTTTTGCAAGTGGTCAGATTGGATCCACTTGTTGTGGTATAATTAATGTATGGTATATCTACGCTGGTTGCTATAGTAATGATGTAGGTGTGAGCAATATGCCAATAACTTTCTTTTACAACTGAGTAGCAAGCTATAATTAAGATGTGCAGTCAGAAAGCTGAAAATTTTGCCTCTACACATTATATCGCTTATGGCATATTGCCATGGTGCTCATGAGGTATATTATATATATATATATATATATATATATAAGTTGTTTGTATGTGTTCTCTCGTTAGTTCATCTTAAAGAGAGGCTGGAGGAGTACATAAAACAGTGGAATGGGTTGGTCAAACTGTTCCGCAATGAAAAGAGAGAGGGTCTGATCCAGGCCAGGAGCATAGGAGCCCGTAAAGCCACTCTGGGACAGGTTTGGGCCCCATAATCAGCATAATGTTAAATGGGTCTACATAAATGTGATTTGTTTGTGTCACACTGTGGTTCTGTCCTCAGGTGCTGATCTACCTGGATGCTCATTGTGAAGTTGGGGTGAACTGGTACGCCCCGCTGGTGGCCCCCATTTCAAAAGACCGGTATGATTTAAGCTCTAGGATGATTTTGTGCCCGCTGAAAGAGACTTAGTTTAAAATGCAAATGCTGGGCTATAGAAGTGTTCTTTCCTATTCATGTTGATTTCATATTTATGTACAACATTAAATACATACATTCAATTTTATACATTTTTTTTTAAGTGAGAGGTTTCAACTTAATGACTCTAAAAAGGTCATGTGGTTTAACAAAAAAAATAAATTGTAATATTTTCCTTGCACCTTGAATACAGGTGAGTGTGCACATCAAAAAAAATTTTAACAAGTTTTTTAATATAAATATCATGAATTCTTAAATATCATTACATTTTTGTGGAGTTGCACCACACAACATTACATACAATCTGAACTCATTTATTGTCATAAAAAGGTCCAATTCGATATTTTAAGAGACTTTTAAGAGTGTCTGCTGGGGTCTCCTCTATGAAATAATCGTGTTTTATGTTTCTGCATGTTGATTGGACCACATGACTAGTTTTTTGGACAAGTTATTCAAATATTCATATAAAATATAATTTATTTTTTACAATTTTCTTTCTAATGTACTACCCAGTTATTTTTTATTTTCTTTTTTAAATCTTAACCTAAATGTATGTTGTGTTAATGTTGCAGAACGGTCTGCACAGTACCGTTGATAGATTACGTAGACGGCAATGATTATACCATAGAGCCACAGCAGGGTGGGGATGAGGACGGTCTGGCGCGAGGCGCCTGGGACTGGAGCCTCCTGTGGAAAAGGGTCCCTCTCAGCAGCAGGGAGAAGGCTAAGAGAAAGCATAAAACAGAGCCTTATCGGTAAACTTCGACCCTCCAATAAGCATGATCATTAAAACCATTCTGTCTCTCTCTTGTTTTGTCTCCCCATCCCCTTGTGTGTGTGTGTGTGTGTGTGTGTGTGTGTGTGTGTGTATGTATGTTAATGCTTAGTTTAAAATGCAAATGCTGGGCTATAGAAGTGTTCTTTCCTATTCATGTTGATTTCATATTTATGTACAACATTAAATACATACATTCAATTTTATACATTTTTTTTTAAGTGAGAGGTTTCAACTTAATGACTCTAAAAAGGTCATGTGGTTTAACAAAAAAAATAAATTGTAATATTTTCCTTGCACCTTGAATACAGGTGAGTGTGCACATCAAAAAAAATTTTAACAAGTTTTTTAATATAAATATCATGAATTCTTAAATATCATTACATTTTTGTGGAGTTGCACCACACAACATTACATACAATCTGAACTCATTTATTGTCATAAAAAGGTCCAATTCGATATTTTAAGAGACTTTTAAGAGTGTCTGCTGGGGTCTCCTCTATGAAATAATCGTGTTTTATGTTTCTGCATGTTGATTGGACCACATGACTAGTTTTTTGGACAAGTTATTCAAATATTCATATAAAATATAATTTATTTTTTACAATTTTCTTTCTAATGTACTACCCAGTTATTTTTTATTTTCTTTTTTAAATCTTAACCTAAATGTATGTTGTGTTAATGTTGCAGAACGGTCTGCACAGTACCGTTGATAGATTACATAGACGGCAATGATTATACCATAGAGCCACAGCAGGGAGGGGATGAGGACGGTCTGGCGCGAGGCGCCTGGGACTGGAGCCTCCTGTGGAAAAGGGTCCCTCTCAGCAGCGGGGAGAAGGCTAAGAGAAAGCATAAAACAGAGCCTTATCGGTAAACTTCGACCCTCCAATAAGCATGATCATTAAAACCATTCTGTCTCTCTCTTGTTTTGTCTCCCCATCCCCTTGTGTGTGTGTGTGTGTGTGTGTGTGTGTGTGTGTGTGTGTGTGTGTGTGTGTGTGTGTGTGTGTGTGTGTGTGTATGTCCATGTTTGCATGCATGGACCTCCCCCTTGCCTCTCCTCCATCCTCTGTGGCCATGTTCAGAACGGTGTGCACAGTGCCTCTTATAGACTCTATTAATGGCAAGACTTTCACCATCGAGCCGCAGGGGGGTGGCGATGAGGATGGCTTTGCCAGAGGAGCATGGGACTGGAGCATGCTTTGGAAACGCGTGCCTCTGAATAGCAAGGAGAAGCAGAAGAGACTAACTAGAACTGAGCCCTATCGGTAATTTAGAGCCATAATCCTGAGCTGATTAGGGCTGACCACAACACACATAAGTGGAGAAACCTTGTCTCTCACTTATAAATACTGGTGGTGGTCTGCTTCTCTCTACTTCTTTAACAGTTCAGCTTTTACGACGCTTATTAAATACTTCCCGCAAAGTGCTAAAGCTGTATAGTAACTGCTATGAAGTGGTCATAAAACAATGAAGTGATTTTAACAAAATACTTCATATATTATGACTACACTATGGCTGTTCTGGTTGAGTCGCTCAACTACTAGAGCTACTAAACTAACGACTCCTAGAACCTGTATCTGCTTCTCTTTGCATGCAGTCTCCATTCTGTCTTGTCTACGAACTTATCTTTCCTGTGGTAGTGACTTGGCATAAGCGTACCCAAGTGCACATGCACCTAGTCACCAAACAGGAGAAAGTGTGTATGCTGCTTGAATTTTTACTCGAAATTCTTTAAACTGTTATAATATGGTGCTTTCTGTCTACTTTCCTGCAATTAAATTTTCAAAAGCTGTTAGTTGCTACAAGCAAGTAGAAAAGAAACACCAGAATTTTGCAGAAGGCACTGAGACAAAACATGGCCATTTTTTATTTAAATGGGATTTTATATATATATTTTTTAAGTATGACAGCATTTTACTACTTGTTCTGGTGTCTCTTTGGCTTTGTTCATACTGCAGGACAAAATCAGATTTTTCCCTCATAAATTTGATTTTAATATGTATTTTTTAGACCAACTGTTCAAACTCAAGTTACCTGTGACAAAAAAAAACAAAACAAAAAAAAAAATCTGTTATGAACATTTAGGTTAAGACATATTAGCAAAAATGTGTAAAGCTTGTAAAAAATGTTTTCCAGACAAATAAAAAATCTAAATCTAAATGCATTTCAGATTTTTACTGCCAGTCTGAACAAAGCCTGGTCGCTTAATGTTGTCAAATACTGTACTGTACGTGTGTGAAACGTAAGGTGGAAACATTCCTGACAGGAAAATATGTGTGTCAGGTCTCCTGCGATGGCTGGAGGACTCTTCGCAATAGAGAGAGAGTTCTTCTTTGAGCTGGGCCTCTATGATCCAGGCCTTCAGATCTGGGGAGGAGAAAACTTTGAGATCTCCTACAAGGTATTTTTACTTTAAATTGGTTTTTACTTTACTTTAAATTGGTTGTGGTCTCTCAGCTGAAAATTGTACTAGATTTTTTTGTCTTTCACCAAAGTTTGCATACAAGGTAATTCTGTGTTTGCACGGTTATAATGATCTTTGTCCAGGGCAACACTTGACTGCTCAACATTTTTCTTACATGGCTCTGCATGTGTTCAGTCTTACCAGCTGACTCTAGTAAGATAATAAAATAATTTTTACTCAAATCAACACTTCATGCCCATATATTGATTTAAGTAATCTACAGTCAGACAGTCTTTATCACAAAATAAATGGTTAATGTTGCCATGAATATAGCCATTGTTGCTGATGTTGCGTTAAAACCTAAATAAACAGATTATCACAAAATAAAATTCTTCAGGGCAATATTTCTATATTAATTGCACAGAGCAACATATTTATCCAAATTCGGCAGTTTATTTGTGCGTGAGCACTTTCTGAATCCCTGCCGTGTGTGTATGTCCCGTGTAGATATGGCAGTGTGGTGGGCAGCTTCTGTTCGTGCCATGTTCACGGGTGGGGCACATCTACCGTCTACAGGGCTGGCAGGGAAACCCACCTCCTGCTCATGTAGGCTCATCCCCCACGCTTAAGGTCAGTTCAGCTCTTTTTTTTTCTATAATCACATTTTTATGAATCTGAAAAAAAGCTGGGTCACAGTTATACTTTACACTAAATCCAGTCTGTAACCTTCACTCTTCTTTTTGGCTGCGTGTAGAACTATGTGCGGGTGGTGGAGGTGTGGTGGGATGAGTATAAAGACTATTTCTACGCCAGTCGGCCTGAGACTCTGACGCTGGCCTACGGAGACATCAGCAGCTTGAAGAAGTTCAGAGAGGAACATCGCTGCAAGAGCTTCAAGTGGTTCATGGAAGAGATTGCCTATGACATCCCTCTACATTACCCACTGCCTCCAAAGAATGTGGAATGGGGAGAGGTGCATATATAATCAATAGAAAGAAAAACACAGTTGAAACTGGTTTAAATATATTGGCATTTGTCATCATTCAGTCGTTTTCTTTCAATAGATTCGTGGGTATGAGACCAGCTACTGCATCGACAGCATGGGCCACACCAATGGTGGCAATGTCGAAATTGGGCCTTGTCATAGAATGGGTGGGAATCAGGTAAAGGAAAATGATTTAGTAGCAGTACTTTGCTTTTCACAGTTTTTATAGCGTCCCCCCCCCTCCTTATTTTTCTTATGCCTTTCTCCAGCTCTTTAGAATTAATGAAGCAAACCAGCTCATGCAGTACGACCAGTGCCTGACAAAGGGAGGCGACGGATCTGCTGTCATCATAACACACTGCAACTTAAACGAGCACACAGAGTGGAAATATTTTAAGGTATGTCACAGGAGGTATCGAGCCTCTTTTGGCCTTGGTGCCTAATCAATAAAACTACCATTTTTATAGCAAAGGTGACACTTTACAATAAGTTTCAGTAGTCTAACACTAGGTTATGTAATAGCTAGTGCTGGTTAAAGATGGTTAAACATGTATTAGTATCGGTAAAATTCTAAGTTAATATACTTGGAATATATATATATTAATAGTTCAGTAGTTTGGCGTCTAAGATTTTATTTAATGTTTTTGAAAGGAGTCTCTTATACTCTCCAAGGCTATATTTATTTAATGAAAAATACAGTAAAAACAGCAATATTGTGAAATATTACTATAAATTAAAATGTTTTCTTTTTGAATATATTTTAAAATGTAATTTACTCCTGTGATGGCAAAGCGGAATTGTCAGCAACCTTTGCTTCAGTCTTCAGTGTCACATGATCGTTCAGAAATCATTCTAATATGCTGATTTGCTGCTCAGGAAACATGTCTTATTATTATCAACATTGAAAACAATTGTGCTACTTCATATTTGCCTGAAAACCATGATGCTGTGTTTTTTTTTGTTTTTTTTTGGTGAATAGAAAGTTAAAAAGAAAGGCATTTATTTGAAATAGAATATTTTTGGTAACAATGTAAAAGTATTTACTGTGTGTGCTTAAAGGCACACTGTGTAACTTTTGGCACTCTAGTGGTTAATAATAAACAAAACTGCATGCATCTCGTTGAAGAACATTGTAGATGGAGCTACTTCTCTGTTTATGGTTATGACAAGTCATGCAGGTACTGGGCTACTCTGCAGCAGTTGTCGTCCTGACAGGTCTAAAGTCGTCCTAATATTATATTTTAGGCATACCGTATAGTGATTCAGGATAAGACAGAAACACGATATGGAAGATGGAATCATGATTTACTTGCTCATTGTATACATTTTGTACTTTAAAACAAAAAAAAGTTACATAGTCTTACATTTAACCTTAAAATTTACATAAAGTTACCTTTAATGAATAAACGTATTATTTTCTTAAAAAATAAAAATGTATTGACCCCAAACCTTTGGACAATAGTAAAATGTAAAAACATAATATCCTTTAGTTAACAGATTGTTAACCAACATGAAACAACAATGAACAATAGTCTATAAATGTAAGCAAAATTAATACAGTATTAGTAATAAATACTGTAAGTATAGTTTTCTGTTAGTTTATGATGCCTAATTTAAGAACTTTATTGTAAAGTGTTGGCAAACTTTACTCTGTGCCTTGCTGTATCGATTCTTCAGTGAACTTTTCCAATGCTTCTAATTTCTCATAGGATCTACATCGATTCACACATATACCTACAGGGAAATGCTTGGATCGCTCTGATGTCTTGCACAAAGTTTATATAGCTGACTGTGACAACAGTAAGAGCTCACAGAAGTGGGAGATGAACAACATTGTGGCAGTTTGAGAGCCATGCTCAAATGTGCTTCAAGGATAAACACTTGACTACAGCAACAGGTTTTACCAGTATACACGTGACTAGTTTTAGTCATCACCCGAATAACTCTGAACTCCGATCATAAACTTTTTTTTTTCCTCCATTGAAGACAATGTTTACATCGGTTCATCCCCAGTGCCCATCGCATGGGTTTTTCTTTGGAATCTGTGGATGGGAGAGGTCTACCTAACAGAATGTGCACAATGTGTGCTGAGATGAATTATCTAATACCACTTTTGTTGCTGCTCCATTATAAAACTCCGATCATAAACTTTTTTTTTCCCTCCATTGAAGACAATGTTTACATCGGTTCATCCCCAGTGCCCATTGCATGGGTTTTTCTTTGGAATCTGTGGATGGGAGAGGTCTACCTAACAGAATGTGCACAATGTGTGCTGAGATGAATTATCTAATACCACTTTTGTTGCTGCTCCATTATAAAAAACAGGTTGTCCGTCAAGTACTGGGATTCATATCTTTTTTTTAACACTGGACCTTCATCATGTTTGAGATGACAACCTGCCACTTGAACTATTTTCGTCTTTGGCACAATGGCACATTTTTTTGCCATATACTATGGGTAAAGAATGGGAATGGAAGAAAAAAGGGAAATGGGGACATAGGGTCAACAATGAAAAAAATATGATACATTTATTTTTATCTACTGCATAAATGTTTGCTTGGTTGGGGGAATAGATGTTTACTTTTATGTGAAAATCAGCAATTGATTATAATACTATTCATGGGCAAAAATCATTTCGAGCAATTGGAGCAAATTTGTTTCAAGGGCAAGAATGATTGCAATGTGTACATTTTTGTTTGTTTTGTACAATGTAAATATGATTATTTCTAAATTAACATTTTGAGATATGGTGGGCTTCCCAATGAAGGTGTAAATATCTAAGTTATAATGGCTGTTTTCTCAAGAAAATAAATGGAACATTTTTACCAGTCTGCTGTATTGAAGTGCTGTTTTTAGCAGGTTAAATGATAATTCAACCATTTAGATGATCATGAGGATTAAGTTAGAACTTTCCACAAATAGGGTACCCCTTAGTATCCTTTTTTTAGGCATAAATCACATATTTTCTGTAGGAAAAATTACGTTAGATTAAATATCTAATATAATACTGAACCATGAAAAGTAGGTCACTTTAATTGTTTAATGCTGATGCAGAAGCCATGTTGTTTGACTAGTTGTTCCAAATTGTATCCAAGAGTTGCAAAGCTAAAATTAACCCAAACTGGTTATAATTAATTGGTCAACATTTTGTTTTCGGAGTTCCTGAAATAAAGAACCACCTCCCTTTGTTGATGAAAAAAATGTCATGCTATTTTGGACTATCCTTGGAAAGTGCCTACTAAAGCAGAAATGACCCCAAGCATTTGAATAATTACAAGACTGTTTGTGTGCTGGTGAGGTTGTTCAAGGCAGTAGACTAAGCTTGTGGAGGATAAGCAGCTGTGCAGCAGTCTTAGTGATACAGGTGAGCAGATGTCATATGATATACAGTACATCTTACTGCATAGAATATACCCAACCTATATATAGGACCACTTATCACATGACCAAGCTAAAGGACATCTCAGCCCGACCATAAATCATGCATGTACTTTAACATAACTCTGGTTACAGATTGCATGTGCATTTATGCCACTTATTTTCCAGATCAAGTCATCCACTGGTGAGATCAGCATTTCCTTCTCCGATGAGTCAACCAAGTGACAAAATAAGATCCAAAAATAAACAAGTTTAAGATGACTGTTACACCCCATCACAAGAAACTAAGCCTAACTGAAAAACAGCAAGTGTATTAGAATCACAAAACTGCTTGTAAAACTAGGAGTACATACAGAACAGCTTTAAGTTATAAAACAGCTAAAGCGGAACAATGTAAACAAGGTTTTTATTTTAAAAGCTAAGTTTCATAGTTTGCCTAGCCCATTAATAGCTTTTGTATTTCAATAATGTCAGTTACTCAATCAGCACTAGCTTAAATTCTGCAAAATTCTTTAATAAGTCAAAATTGCACACAGTGAAAAGGGGAATTGGTCATAATATACAAAATTTAATAAAAAGAAAAAAAAATTCAGTCTACACATCTTCAAAGCTCATTTAAAAAAAACTGAGACACTACACAAATTCAAACTCTTCCTTATTTGTCTTAAAATGGCAGTAGAAATAATAACAGGGAAACCAAAGCAACCACAGCTATCAAGACAAAAAGCAGTGCTTAAAAAAAAAAAAAAAAAGCGGTTACATTTACAAAACAGCACATGACCTCAATATGTATTCAATTATACACATTTCTGTACATGTATTGAAAAAAAATAAATGCTAAAAAAAATGCATTCACATTGTTTTGCAAACAACTCTGCTCAAGTTTTCCCTGATAGTTTAATCATCATCATCATCGTCGTCATCATCCTCATCCTCTTCTACATCCTCCTCATCCTCATCATCGTCATCATCCGCTTCTGCCTTCTTTCCTACTGGCCGGCCAGGTCCACCCTTCTTGCCACCATCTGCTTTGGCGCGATATGCAGCAACATCCTGGTAGGAAAGTTGTGTTAATATGAGCAAAACCGCAAATTGTTATTGGAAGTACCTGAAATTGGGCCACGCTTTACCTTTTCATACTTCTCCTTGAGCTTCATGGCCTTCTGCTCATATGGAGCCTTTTCCTTTGGTGAAAGCTTGGACCACATCACCCCAAGCTTCTTTGCAATATCACCAATAGAGATGCCAGGGTTGTCGTTCTTCACTTTTGGGCGATGGTCAGAGCAGAAGACGAAGAAAGCAGATCTGATGGTAGAGAGCAAAAAGAAGAAAAAAAAAAAAGTTACTCAAGTCAAAACCGCAGAAATCTCATGGGTCTACTTGTGCACTACTCACGGTGGACGGTGGGGAGCATTTGGATCCTTCTGCTTTTTCCCTCCCTTTGCACCTTTAGGAGGCATGTAGTTTTTCATCTCCCGGTCATAGCGGACCTTGTCGGTTTTGGCCATTTCCTCAAACTTGACCTTCTCCTTTGAGGACACGGTCTGAAAAAACATGACTACGATTAGGTTCTGCCAGGCGCAGCGTGTGGCTCTTTATCCTCCCGCCCTACATTTGCCTCAGTCCCTTGAGTAACAGATGCATAGTGTAATTCTGCCCCACCCCCTCCTTACCAACCCCAGGAAAAACATTGCAGCCTTTCTGTTCAACTCACTTTCCATCTTTCAGAGTGCAATATCACCAATAGAGATGCCTGGGTTGTCGTTCTTCACTTTTGGGCGATGGTCAGAGCAGAAGACGAAGAAAGCAGATCTGATGGTAGAGAGCAAAAAGAAAAAAGAAAAAAAAAAAGTTACTCAAGTCAAAACCGCAGAAATCTCATGGGTCTACTTGTGCACTACTCACGGTGGTCTCTTAGGAGCATTTGGATCCTTCTGCTTTTTCCCTCCCTTTGCACCTTTAGGAGGCATGTAGTTTTTCATCTCCCGGTCATAGCGGACCTTGTCGGTTTTGGCCATTTCCTCAAACTTGACCTTCTCCTTTGAGGACACGGTCTGAAAAAACATGAGACTACGATTAGGTTCTGCCAGGCGCAGCGTGTGGCTCTTTATCCTCCCGCCCTACATTTGCCTCAGTCCCTTGAGTAACAGATGCATAGTGTAATTCTGCCCCACCCCCTCCTTACCAACCCCAGGAAAAACATTGCAGCCTTTCTGTTCAACTCACTTTCCATCTTTCAGAGCACTTCTTGGAGAACTCTGCAAAGTCCACCTTAGTCCCTGGGCTTTTCTTCTTATGTTCCTCCCGGCAGGTCTGCACAAAGAACGCGTAAGAGGACGTCTTTCCCCTGGGCTTGTTAGGATCTTTACCCATGGCTGTGATACGCTAAAAGGGATAAATACAAATAAAAAAAATCCCCAAACTGTTAGAAAAAGACTCATAACGCTGCAGCATGTTTTTCAGTAAAAAAAAATCCTGTCAGTCTTGCTTTGTACGCTGGTAAAGCAACGGAGAAATGATCGCTCACTAACGCTAACGTTAGTTAATCCGATCAAGTTCCTGTTTCGTTTCCACCAGAGCACTCAACTAGAACAATAAGCGCCCCTCCATTTTGTTTTCCCGCCTAAACTGCAGGAAATATGCGCTAGAATGTCAGTCGAAAGCAAATGGTTTCAGGTTCTACGCGTTAAAAAGCGAATAAACCCACCAAATTAGCGAGGCATACTACTTTGGAGGACTTTTAGCTGCCTCAGGCTCAGTGCGCGGGCGCTGCGCTCCATTACGACCTCAAACTCCTAGCCAGTCATGGCTGCTTACGCTCTTAACTTTACAAGATCACTAAGCTGGCAAAATCCTCGCAAATCTACGTGTTCACAAAACCAACAGAGCTACAACTAAGACACCAGCATCATTTTTCATAAACAACACTTTACTTAATTTAAACTGCAATAGTTAAGGTTTATGTTTCATATAAAATTCTTAATTCGTACAAAAAAAAAAAAAAAATCACGACCATATAACATCGTCTTTCTTAGACATGCTCGATAAAAGCTCCATATAAACAAACAAAAAAAACATCTACCTGAGAAATTAAGACATGCTTACCTATAATCAGCCTCAACTGCTCGACAGAACGTACGTATTCTTCTGGTAAACTGTTTTGTCGCTGTGGTGCAAGGCGCACAAACTTGATTAAATGCCCATAGACTCCACCCTCTGAGCGCTCGTCTGACTGGTTGGGATACGTTCAAATTTGAATCGGCAACGTTCTAGGCGTGATATTGAATTCCTATTGGCTGTCGGTGACCGCAGTCAAGTTTCCTCGTGAAAATTAGATCCAGATGACGACGCCACTGATCTCGTCAGCTATTGGTTGAACTGGGGATTTAAAATAATGAGCGGTAAGTCTTAGAACCAGGAAAACGCGCCTCAGTTTTATTCTTATTTTGAAAGGACTTTAAAGCAAATATGAATACGTTGCACACGCAGAGAGAAAGTGTTTGAGGGTTTTTTCCATGCCAGACAAAATCACATTCACGTTTTGTTTTGAAGTTTTAAGTGGTATGAACAATGGCGCGCCATACGGACAAAAGCTAACTGTTGATGCGAGTTTGAAGACGCCATGCCTTGGGTCTCGAGGGTGTTGTTAAAACCATTTCATTGCTATTTTTCCAATTACTTTATACCCACGTTGTTATATGCCTTCTGCTGTACTTAAAAGTAACGTGGTTTTTGTAGTTTCTCATTTCTT